TCATCAATGTATAATTTTGCTAATCTCTCCATCGAATATGATTTTTTCTGTCACATTCAAACACACATGATTATTCTCATAATCACAACATAATAACACATTTATCCTCATGTCTACTCATAACTCAGATTATGTCAATCATATATAATCTATCTTTCTCAAAATAGGTTCAGCTATAACATATTCCCATGTTCATAGACCCAGTAAAACCTATTATCATAACTTTCCACACCTCTAGTTTAAGTCTAAGTATTTTGCAAATACCCAGATCCCTTAAACTAAGGCTCTGATACCAACTGTAACAACCCATATATTTCATGTACAGATAATACACATCATCATACTCATAATACTAAAAATAGTATTGTTACAAAACATGGACTAACAAAAACTTTCTTTAATACATATATGAATAAACAAGTGACATCATCATTTAAACTTTTCCCTTTCCTTTATCTTGCGAGGTATGATGACCTGCAAAACCGGTTAGTCCAACAACTGAGCGTTTAGACAAAAAGGTCTAGTGAGTGTATAAATCCCAAACAACATACTTTCCAAATAATCAGTTCAGAATCAAACATGTTCTGACACATAAACTTATTTATGTCTCTCGCGATTACACCGCAATTACATCTCTGTCGCGGTTACACCGCCATTACATCTCTCTCGCGGTTACACCGTCATTACATCTCTCTCGCGGTTACACCGCCATTACTTCTCTCTCGCGGTTACACCGCCATTACTTCTCTCTCGCGGTTACACCGCCATTACTTCTCTCTCGCGGTTACACCGCCATTACATCTCTCTCGTGATTACACCGCCATTTCATCTCAAAAACACTTCAAAATTATTTCAACACAATAACCGGATTTGAAGTCCGGTCAACTTTGTCCGGATATGAAGTCCGGACAAACACTTAGAATATATTTCGACATTCAGGACCAGAGCCCCTCTGGTCTCTCTTACAGAGCTTCTGGTTTCACGACCAGAGCTTCTGGTTGAACCAACCAAACTTAGAATATAATTCAACATCCAAGACCAGAGCCCCTCTGGTCTTTCTTCCAGAGCTTCTGGTTTCACGACCAGAGCCTCTGGTTGAACCAACCAGACTTAGAATATATTTCAAAACCTAAGACTAGAGCCTCTCTGGTCTCTCTTCCAGAGCTTCTGGTTTCACGACCAGAGCCTCTGGTTGTACTAACTAGAGCTTCTGGTTCCGAAAGACATGACCAACCAGAGAACCGGTCACCTCATGTCCGATTTAGGGTTAAGTCCGGACAACAC